TATTTTTCTCAATTCACATTAAGTCATCCACATATTTACCTTTCACATTATAGATTAAATGCATAAGGATAATTTTTAGGATTTTTAATTGAGCTATAATAATAAAAACACTGCCTCTGGAATATAGTGTTAGACATATCACATGAGTGTTGTATGTAAATATGGAAAACAGAGAGTAGTTGAACAAGTATATGCGTCTCAGCATAGAAATAAAGAAGCCACATCAAAGCCAAAATACGACATTATCTATTTAATCATGATTGTTCATGATCACTAGAGAGTAATGATCTTACTACAGGTATTTATCTGTGAAAATTAATGAACAGATTTAATAAATTTGGAGAGCTTGTAATTATAACTTTTTCAGTTAGAGAACCTTTTCACATATGCATGTATCTGAAAAAATAGTGGAAATGAATATAAATTTATTTTAATGCAAAATAATTCTGAAATGCTTAGATAGTATTTTAATAATACAGGTTTTCCAGCAAGTTTTCAAGAGTGCACATAATTTCATAATTTTCCTCAGATGAGCACCAGGAACTTTCTGAAAGAGATGTGATTTTTTATCTTCATGTATTAGAGAAGAAAATTATGGCTGATAAGACTAGTAATTAGGATAATAGATCTTATTTCCTATATCTTGTATAATCTGCTATTTTTCTATGTGTAAGATACTCAGTGAGGGTTATAGCGCACATCAAAATTTTTCTTGGTAGCGAACTTGTATTATGTTTTTTAGTTGACAGAAGATGAACACTTATATTATCCCCCTTTGTAACAAAGACCTTGTGAGGCAACAGCTCCAATTGCAGGAGAACTTACACAAGTGAGAAATGGAGAGAACTTAGTAGAACAACCAACCATAAAACGGCATTCGAACAAGGCTTTGCTTCATCAGAGGTGAAGTCACATTGAGGAAAGTTTGTCAGTCCCCAAGGATAGCTGACACATCAGGAAGATAACAACTGCCTTTCCTTAGCCCAGTCTTGCTCAGTCTCTCTGAAAATCTGCTATACTCCCTAAGCCATAGACATTTTAGACAAGGAGGGAGGAGATAACATCACTTGCAACAAGCATTTCTAAAATTGTTTAAGAAATGAACAAGCCAAAACAAATAAATCTCCAGTACCATGTAAATCTTAAGCAAAAGCCTATTTCTGTGTTGTAAAAGAAGGCTAAAACACTAACCTCATTTTGAGAATGTTGGCTTCAGGAAATGTTATAATACCCAGGATATCTTTCACTGTACAGAATAGTAATTGTTCCATCCAAAACTGCAAGTCCTCTCTCTTTCCTGAGATATCAACACCAGATCCTGATATTAGCATTTTGAATAAGAAGCACAGTGTGCTAGAATGGCAAGAAATGAAAGGGGAGAATTGTAAGTGTGAAAACGACCGTGAGGAGAAAGAGCAGAGGTAAATCTATTCTGTTGGCCAAAAGATGAACAAGAGCAGAGGGGACAAAAGACAGCAAGAGGCAGACTCATGTCCGAGTACTCAAAACTCTTGCTCAGCGATTTTTCTCAGTGCATGGTGGTCATTGGCATGTGTGGGTGTGGTTTAAATGTTAGAATTCAGAGCAGGCATTTGATCAGCAGCTGAAATATCTGTGTCCCACATCAGAGTGTCTGTATTTTATTTGATGCACAAAGAAACTGTGATTTTAGATTACTTGGAATGTAGACTGTGGGTGGCAAGACAGATGGCTCATGTGCTGGGTTCCTGGGACCCACGTAGGACATCGAGATTGTCTTCTTGGATTCAGCCACGATCCAGGCCATAGTTATTTCAGGCATTTGTGGAGTGCAACAGTGAAAAGGACTTCTTCCCTCCCCTTCCCTTGAATCTTCTCCCTCTCCCGTTGCACCTTCAAGCCAAAACCCCACCCCATCGTCACCCCTACCCTCACCTTCATCTTCCTGGCTGTGAAAGAAATCATTTTTGATTTAAAAATTCTAAAATGCAAAGGACAATGCTTTGAAGAATAACAATGATACGTGTAAAAAAAATGATTTTCAGTTAGAGTTAAGTTAAATATGATTCTGGTCTGTAGCTCTTGTCTAAATTGCTTCCCTTTTAATCCAAATGCCTGTATCACCTTCTCAATATTAAACCACATTTTTCTTTAACTCACAGTTTCCTTTTAGTTTAGATGATACTTTTTAAATTGGGGAACATGCTGGTTATGTTTTATAAGAACCACTTTATAGTTTTCAATTTTACTTTCTATGTTGAAGGTCAGAGGAAAGGAGCATGCTACCACTCATATCCCTTCTGTCGATACACTTGTATGTGCGAAGGAAGACAAAGTATAGTGTGAAAAGCAGAATTTTCTCCACACTTTCATAAATTATATCATTATTATACTTCACAATAATAAATCGATGGAAAGATATGAAAGACAAAAATGTGATTCCATTCAAGATTCATAGGACCAGGGCCCAGCGCAGTAGCCTAGCAGCTAAAGTCCTCGCCTTGCATGCACCAGGATCCCATATGGGTGCCAGTTCTAATTCTGAACGCCCTGCTTCCCATCCAGCATCCTACTTGTGGCCTGAGAGAACAGTTGAGGATGGCCCAAATCCTTGAGACCCTGCACCCGCATGGGAGGTCTGAAGTAGGCTTTGTACTCCTGGCTTTGGATCAGCTCAGCTGTGGCCGTTGCGGCCACTTGGAGAGTGAATCAATGGACAGAAGATCTCTGTCTATCCTACTCTCTGTATATCTAACTTTCTAATAAAAGTAAAATAAATCTTAAAGAAAAAAAGATTCATGAGATTATATACTATACTATACTATGGTCCAATGGATTAAGCGCTGCCTGTAGCACTGGCATCTCATTTGGACACTGGCTCTACTGTCACCCCAGCTTCCTCCGAATGTCCCTGGGAAAGCAGCAAAAGTTGGAAACCTGAATGATGCTCTTTTTGGCTCGTGGCTTCCCCTTGGCCTCCTCTCGGTTACTGCAGGCATTTGAAGAGTTCATCGGGGGATGAAGGATCTCGCTTTCCCTCTCTGTAAATCTGCCTTTCAAATAAACAAATAATTCTCCATTTCCAAAACAAAAAGAGATAAAAACTCTAGGCTTGGTCATTTTTAGCCCTTGTTGAACAACCTGCTTTTACTCTGCTCAGAAAATCATTCATTCCCGAAAGCATCATCGCTGGCATCCTCTGATCTGATCAAGCCTCTGGTTCTGTGCTGAACTGTTCCTGCTTCTGCTGCTGCTGCTGTGACATTGCAGAGTCTCCAGGCTTCCTTTCATATGCCCTACATTCATTTGTGCAGCCTTTCTAGTTTGCAAAGCATTTCCCTAACGCATGTTCCCCGAACCCTCACACAAACACTGGAGGGAGGTGTTATTATGAAAGCTTTTATACAAATGAGAAGAAAATGACTCAAAGTGTTGAAATAACTAGGTCAAATGACCAAACGTACACACAAAGTCAATGTCCATACTTCCCCTGGCAGCAACTCAACTAGAACTGGAACAGAGTGCATCTACTGTCTTCTCAACAAATTTTATTAAGTAGAAAACTGAAATGGAACACGGTATAAATACATGTTTTTCATACAACTGAGCTTATTTATGCAGGATATTTCATTTAGGAGGGTTGATTTATTATGTGTGAGGTTTTTTAGTTTTTATTTTATATAAAGAGAATAAACTTCATGCATTCATATATAAAAATTGAAGAGCATAATGGTGCTTCCTACAGTATCCTTCCTTTCACCCTCCCTGCTCCTTTTTATAAATTTTATCTTTATGATTACAAAGTTTTATGTTGAAATATATGTATCAATACTTATTTCCTTTTAACACACATTATAAAAAGTACCAAGAATTGGCCTCCTAATGTCTTTATGCCTCTCTGAACTATCCTAGTTGCTATAAAACATCCACAACTAAGTTCAAAAAGCAACATCTGTTAAAACTCAAGACGAGTACTGCAGTTAAAGTTAAGTGGTAAAATAACAACAATCACAATTAGAAAAAACAACTCTGTCTTTGAAATAGTTATGAACACATAAAAATGAGTTGGGGAAAGTAAAACATAAGATAGCCTCATTTATTAAATAGTCAGTATTTCTTATTATTTTCAAGGGTGACAAACCATTATTAGAAGAAAGAATAATTATGCCTTTAGCACAGTTTCTATTTGGGTGAATCTCTGCAAATGGAATGCACAGGTCCTAGCAATTAGAGAATGTTCTATTAATATGGATTATAGCTTAAGCTGTTGAGCACTTATTATTTGCAAGTCACTACTGACACTTGGATTTAATAATCAAAATACTAAATTTCAGGACATAGTTCTCCTAACCGAATAGAAGAGAAAATTGAGTCACAATGAGAAGTGATCATTTCAACTTGGGCTAGCACCTAAGTGATGAAACTTGACTTTGAATCTAGGTTGCTCAATAACAGAATGTGTGTTCTTAATCACTGCTGTTAACCAATCTGCAAGAGAACTTAGACCAAAAATTTGAAGAAGTTTTGGTAAAGCTATTACATCTGATAAAGTATCCATTCTTGTACTTTCTTGATAAATTTTTCTTCCTTTTTTTTTAAATTTAGGTATTGAACTGTTTAATGAGCTTCCAGCCCCTTTGTTTTATGAACAGTTTATATTGTATTGATTTTTGCCCTTTGTTTTTGCTGTTTTCTCATCTACAGAATATCTTCCTTAGACATATATGGGATGAAAGTGGGAAGGATAATTCTGTTTACATAAATATTTACTACCACCATTTGGAGTCCCTGCTTTTTAATGATTCCCTTTAATTATGAATGTGTTTACATGTAAATTCACAAAGTTATACATACATATTTCACAGGATTGAATAAGTTCTACCAGAAACACAATAACATTATCTAATCTTAGCACACATTTATTAGTGCATAGAATTAGTCATCATGGACTGTTTCTTCATAGTTTATCCAATAGCTCTTGGGCAACCCAAGGAAGTAGTCATTTGCTTTTTCCCCCCCAGAAGCTCAGAAGAAGCAAATGGAAGAGAGTATAGAGCTGATCCAGGACGAATCTGTGTCAGAGATTGCAGATCACTCTACAGAGGAGCCTGCTGAAGGAGGGCCAGATGCGGATGGAGAAGAGATGACTGATGGGATAGAGGAGGACTTCGATGAAGAAGGGGGTCATGAGCTGGTAGGAACCAAATATTTGGTGTCCACACCCATTGAGTAACAGCACTAACATGTTAGCAAAACATTCATTCTAAAACAAGGATTAATTCATTTGGGGCCTATTTCCTATTTGCATCATTAAGGGGAACATAATGTAGTGATTTGCACATAGTAAGTGCTCATTTTTTTTTTTTTTTGGCTAAGAAAATCTGAGGGTGTAAGGAAAGAACCATAGAAATATTATATATGAAAGTAAGTATAACTAATGTCCCAAATGACTCTCTTTTGCAAATCCAACGTGAAAGAAACCTTACATTTGTGAAAGTACATGAGAACTATGTCTAAATACAGCATACTGGTACCAAATAACCATTTAGTAAAAGAAATAAGCTTTCCCTCTTCTTTAGTAGTTGCAAGTTGATCGTTTATGCTGGCTGAATCACTGTTTTCTCCCGTCTGTTCACGAAGATGGCACAACCCTTTTGAGGGTTTACCATTTTCAATGTCTGTTCAGTTCATAGCTGATATTGATGATTTCAGAATTTAGCTAAGACCTGAGTCTTGATATTTTCTTTTCTCAATGCTAACGGCATTATACTGCTCATTTCCATGTTCTTTCAGTGTAACCACACAAGGGAATAGATAAATACACTGTGATGAGGATATTATTTGTCATATTTTATCAACCATGAAATTAAAATATACTTTTTGAAAAAACTTTACTAAGGTGCAAAGTTAAATGTGATACGTGTGTGTGTATGTGTGACCAACTGTTTAAGCATCTATAGACAAAACATATGAAAGTTAATTCATTCCAAGCAATATCAGGTTTCACTTGTTTTAATACTCATTGTTATTTAAGACTTTTTGTAATGATAGTAGTCATTATTTTAGCATGATGGCCACTTTACTGATAGTTTTAAAGACAGTTTAATTTATAGAATTTTATATTGACATTTACTATTATAGCTGTCTAAATTTCACAGCACTTTCATTTAAACTTTTTAAACATGAAATTTTAACAGCCACTTCTATTTTTATAAAGTTGTGCTTCCATTTGAGAGATTTATTTATCTATTTTCAGAAATATACTGATTTCAGAAGTTGATCAAAAGCTAGAATGAAGAACAAATATGCCTCGCAGCTTTTCCTTTCCAAGACTTTAACAGCACAATGTCCTTGATCTGTTATAATCAGACTTCTGTTACATCTTTTCATTGTGCTTGCCCTTATGAAGGTTTCCAACAGGGATCCATATGATCATTATGATCATTTCCATATGGGTACCTTTTTTTTCTTTATTTTAAATTACTCTTTAACAGGACTTTCCACAGCTAACCATTCCTTGCTTTTATGAAATTCTATCTTACCAATAGATCACAACAGAGTTTTTGTTTTGTTTTGGTTTGGTTTGGGTTTTTTTTTTTGGCTAGAAACTTTCCTTCCGTACACCTAATTTAAATATTGGAATGTCTCATAGTTTTGCCATGATACATTTTCTTTTCTTATTTAAAATTCTCATAGCATAGCCTAAATACTATCTGCAGGCCAAAGATTGATAAGCAAAGATTTCTTTGTAATCTTTCCTTGGAACCCTGGACACAAACATTCAGCTTCCTGTAATCCTAGAGGTGTCCAGTAAGCAACTGAAACATTACTAGAAACATTCCTGAGCATTTTGTAGCTCTCTTATTTTTTCCCAGTCTTGTGCATTTTGGTACACAACCTTGCCATTAACAATTATTCCCTGGACAGAAGTTTTTTTTTTTAATTATTATTTGTTTTATGATGCACTTTAATAGGCACTGGGGTCTCCCCTCCCCTTCTCCAAGTTCCCTCCCCTTCCCACTAATCTCCCCTCCAGTGTTAGGATAGGTGTCTTTGATGCTGCCACTGAGGTGTCTTCCAACAATGTAGGCATGGGCAGTGTTGGAGAATCCAATATCCAGCTGTCAGGACATTATCAGCCATTTCACTGTGAGTCCTTCCTTGTGCTGCACGTATGGAGACATACTTCTCTCTGTTCCCACCTATGAACATGTTAGTTTCCACTACACTTCCATTATGCATTCCTTTAAATACAGACCCAGTCCACCAAGGGGAGAAAAAATAGTGGACCTTCATAAGAGAATTGTTTTATCTCCATTCCCACTTTGTTTTGATTCTACTTAGAAATCATACAATGCTCATTGTGTCTCCTTTACAATTCGTCAGAATAAAGCTAGCATGCCCTCTTCAAGGCCTTCATGGCTTCGTGGAACTAAAGAATAAATTCTAATAGTTAGCATATCATTGTTTTTCTATCACTTGGCAAATAGTTAATGAGGAGTCTAATACTTAGTTTTGGAATTTAAATGGAAACTAGGGATCAGCCATTAAAAAATAATAAACTCTGTAGTCTGGTTTCCTGTGTTCTTTCTAGACCATACGAATCATATAATCTTATGTTTCCTAAAAGAAAAGTAAAAGCAAAGCTTTCATTTTTGGCCATTGTGAATGATTATAGATTAGAACAACAGTAATGTAATAATAATTGGGATTTTAGCACGTATGATAGAAGTGAAGAAATTGCTGGTATCTACATACTCAGCTGACTGCTCAAAGAAATTCTAGTCCAAAAGATAAATTGGAAGTAAAAATTGAGACTGAGGCAAGGGAGAGTGATCAGAATGAGCTCATGTAGTAGCTACACATGATGTTGCACTTGAGGATAAGAGGCCACAGACATGAGCAAGGCTGTCCAGAGAACATTTATTTCTAAATATCCACTTAGTGAAATTGATTTCTACGAAGCAATCTATTCAACTAACATTTGGGAACCTATCATGTGTGAACTAGATTCTCCAAAAAGCACAAAACTAACAAAAAATGATTGCTTTATGTGTGAAATGAAAGATAACAAAATGAATTATTTTCTCAAGTAATGTAGTGTCCTGCAGAGGTGATTTATTTTCTCACACTTAAAAGAAAATCAGGTTAGACTTGATAATTTATAAAACTAGTAAAATCTGTGCTTCTGAAATAATCTAGTTATTGCTGTATTAGTGCATAGAAACCAGGTTATTAATGTATTTTATATTGAACTCTATTTTTGATGCACTACACATACCCTATCAACCACTACTGTACTCAAGCTTCTGAATAAATGTCTTGACAAATCTTTACTGCTTGGTGTCAGTGCAGCAGCTTAGCAAGCTAATTCTCAGGCTGTGGCACCTACATCTTACATGGGTTCAGGTCCCAGCTACTCCACTTCTGATCCAGCTCCCTGCCCATGGCATAAGAAAGCAGTGAAGGATGGCTCCAAGACTTGGGCCAATAGAAACATGTGGGAAACCTGGAGGAAGTTGCTGGCTGGATTCTGGCATCATATCAGCTCAGCTTTTGCTGGTGCAGCAATCTGGGAAATGAACTAATAGATAGAAGATCTCTGTCTCTCTCTCTGTCTTTCTCCCCCCTTCTCTGTCTCTCAGGAAAAAAAAAACTAAGTAATAAATCTTACAGAATAATATAAAATATTTAGTGATTGATCACTAATTGAATGTTCAACAGTATTGAGATCTAATGCTATGGGGATAAAGAAAGAAAAATATATTTTTTCTCTTAAGAAGAATGTGTGCTAACCAAAAATTAAATGTCGAACAGCAAAACACAAGGCTGTTATGGTGAGAATAGTGCAAGAGACATAATTGAAAGGTGGGGAACCACACATAGCTGAGGAAGGCCACAAAGCCTTCCTGGCAGAAGTGGGATTGGAAGCACTCCTTGAAGGATGCCAGATTAAGGCAGTATTATATGTTCTATAAGCTAGGTAGGTAGTTAGGTAGGCATATAATGGCAACTTCTTGAAATAAAACTACTAGAAATTTCACAATTAGGACATTTACCCTCTAAGCTTTTATTCTCTTACTCACACCAACCAAATATATACTCACCTTTATATAAAAGAACATAATCCAAAGTAAAAATTACTTGCATTGTGATAAAAATACTATTTCATACAATCAATCATACATGAAAAATCACATGGTACTCCATTTATCTGGATAATTTTCATGTTTCTGTTAAAATTTATGGTGGCATATTAAACCTTAGACTGTAACATAAATTTAAAATATTATCTCTAAAGTTAAAAGAAAAAAGGCAATAGGAAAGGGAGAAGAAAAGAAGATGGCAATCAAGAAGGAAGGGAGAAAGGGAATATCATTATATTCTTAGAATTGTACCTGCAAATCACATTGAATTGGATAAAAACTAATAAAAATTTTTAAATAGCCATCATGGAAAGACATTTATATAACACTTCAAAACATAAAATTAATTGGTTCACTTTTTGAAAATATGAGGAAACAATGAAGCTTTCCGTAAGTATGATTTTAAACGTACCTTACAAAGCAACACTGGATGTTATTTTCTTGTTAAAGGCATTTAACGTAAGAAAGGCTGATACAGATTATCTGAGAAAGCAGCCAAGGAGTTTTTACTTTTTCCAGACTGAGGTTTGAAACTACAGAGCTCAACCATCAATTCCCAAAGGAAACTATGGACAAATATAACATTTAAATGGATGAAGGAGAATCTGAGATCTTCGGACTCTGCTTGTAATTGCTTTGCTTTTGCTGACGGCACACGATAAAATCGGGCAAATATAGTAAAAATCCACAATGCAATTACCTAGCTGAATTGTATAATATTTTTTATAATGCAAGAAGAGTTCTATGTTGTAATGCATCTTTCAGAATTTAACAAAACAGTAAGTCACCTGGGTATATGAACTATTGAATTTCTGTGCACAGGGAAAGGCCTGGGCCACAAATCCAATCCCGCAACCAATGAGAACTTAAGGAAGGCATTCGGGTTCACCAAGGAAAAACGGGTGCACACAGAATTGAGACCAATACTCTCACTCTTTATGAGCAAGGCTGAAATTGTTTCTTCGTGTATTAAAACGTTTTGCTCTTTTCCTAATGAGATCTTTCTTGTGACATTTTCCCTTATCTACTGTTTAACTTTATTGTCATT